AGAGTTATGACGTTGTTCTTAAAATCAAAAATGTCTCTGTGATTAATAGTGACTGCACAGTGACTGCAGTGCATTAAAACTACTCCACTGCCATGTGTCAACACAATGGAGGAAGGCTAGCTCAATTTTACTGTGACACATTGTTGATGATCTTGTTGATAATTTTTGCAGCCTCTGCGCATATGACACATCTGAAAATGCAGGTAGTGAATCAGAGAGTCGCTCTGTGTAACAACTCACAATTGTGTCCTTTAAATAAGAGCTAGGAAGCAAGTTTTACAATGATGTCTCCAATTCCCTCATTTGCACTTGACATTCAAACACACTCTCTCTTATAGTTCCTAAACCATCAGAAAGCACTCGCTCCACAACAGGCAGGCCAACAATCTTAGATCTGAGTGTCAAGAATCAGGACTTGAGTAGAACTGGAGTCAAATGGCTCCATATTGTTGTGATGCTACTCTTATCCAATGTTGATGAACCCCTTGTTATTGAAATCCAAGAGGCCACATTATTTGGTAAATAAATGATTACAGAAAATAATAATGGATAGGATTAAGGTTACCAGAAGAATTGAGTCTCAAAATACAGGGAGTTGTTTCAGATAGTTTTTTGCCTGAAGCATATTAGGAAATAGAAATGTGACATAATGATTGTTTAAATAAATTTGGGGATTCCTTGTTGTTGTAGTAAACCTGCCATCTCACCATCTCCTGATTCATCAAAGATTCATCAAAAAGCACTTCTTTGGACATTCCTGGGCTAGATCTCTCAATAACAAATTGCTTCGACACTAATTAATGCACAACCTAAATAAACCATCATGCGTATATTCACAAAATTATTGTCATTACCTTATTGTTCATGAAGGCCTTGAGACACTGGATAACTTTGTGTTGATTCTTTTTGTCAATCTTCTCTTGCCTACAGACACGAAAAGAGTTATTCAGGCAAAAGTGGTCTAATGAACAACATGACAAAATGAGTCTACAGAGTGTGTCCCACAGGATTAGACGTGGTGATAGCTGGCAAGGGAGACAAGGGGGTGTCTGGCCGAGCGGTTGATTACTGTGAAAGCAAATGCAGGAGGCTCTCATGTGCACCTGAATCACAGGCACAGAGTCTTAAGCTGCGTTCTGCCGGGACAGTGAGAATTGTATTGATTGTTTTGACAATCAACAGCCCCACACTACAGCGGGATGTCTCTTATTGCTACTGAAGGCCAGTGTGACTATGACAAACAGGTTAATGTAGATAGAGGTAGAGAGAGAGAAAGAGAGAGAGACACAGAGGGAAAGCAGCAGACCAAAACACTATGTCCGAGATCTTTGAAAACATTATGAGAAGCATTAAACCTTTTCAGATCATTATGATGGCAGAAGATAGGTTGATCATGGGGGACCACCACAGTCTAAGTAATTCATGTGTAATGTGTAAAACTTGTTGTGATAGAAAACAATTTTAAATAATTGGTTCATTCATAAACCTTTCATGAACTCCACCACTAGCAAATATTAATGACACTTTGTTATTCTTAAATGTGTAAAATTGGTGTTGAATGACTTAAAAAAGTGAAAATTACCCAAACAAATGCAATTTTGTTTATAAGTTACTGTTCATGCTTTGAATAAACAAATGACTAGTTACTGGTACCCATGAATAAATGCATTAACTTACTCCTTCTTGAAAAGCAACCTCTCCAAAATGTCCAGCAGCAGTCCAAGACCCTCATGCCCGAAACTCTGCACCCAACTGAAATAACAAAAATGTAATCAATATCACATGTGTGCGAGACTGACGACTGACAACCTTTTCTGTGAAAACCTTTTAGACAGAAAAACACATGTAGAATTTAATACAAAAAACATAGTATTGCAAGTCTCACTGCGATCTATTGTAGAAAGAGGGAGGTAACAAGTGGACAGCATATTCACATGCAGTTCACAGACAGCTGTTTGTTATCTTTTATACTACATATATAAACACACACATACATTATAAAGTAAACATCATGTAGTTAACAAATGTCATTGAGCTGTAATATAAACCAAAATATCAGGAAAGATTTTGGCTTTTATAGAA